ATACGGCCATGACGTTACAAGTCAGATTGACCCGTGTTCTACGCTATATATTGAAAAATGAAGATTGTTAGGCACCAGAGAAAACCAGTCAGAGGGGGAAACTTCCGCTTCCATGGATAGCAAGCAAAGCGCGTAAAACAGTCTTATTTTCCACTTCTTTTTCCACCTTTATTTCCAGGTAGACTTTTTAGTTTTTCCTTCACATCAATTAAGAAATTTCCTTGTTATAAACTCTGTCATTATTTTCAATCTAGCATGTCATAACATAGGCATCATCCCACCGTGCCATCTGTGGAATCAGAATGGATTAGCCAGATGATCGTAGCCATCACATAATTCATACGTACAGCTAAATACTTCTTAGTTATTATAGGAGAAAGGTATGATTGCACAAGACATAATAGCTCCGTCCTACACGGTAGAAGAGTTCTTTTCAATGGAATTATCAGAGTAAATTGATGCAAAGAAGTTGAAAAGTCGAAGTCTTTTAAGTCAACCAAATGCATTGTCTGGCAGTTTCTTTGAATTATCTTCACAGCCTTGCTTTTCATTCAGGCACTTACATACCATATCAATTCTTATTTCCCTCCAGAGTCCAGACCAACCACTTCTTGAAATTCACCCATCAATCCCACCAGTTCCTCATCCATTTGCAACATCTTCATCCCCATCTTCTCATTTTTCCCTTCTCTGTTTCATCTGAGAAAATGCATCCCCTTCACCTCCCTGGGTCTTTCTTCATCATCATCATCATCACCTTCGTCTTGATCCATGCTCCTAAATATGCATCCTCTGCGGATGAACGTTATGTGAAATGCAACAGGACGTTCGCCTGTGGAAACATTGAGAATATTGGCTATCCTTTCTGGGATTCAGACGGGCCCGAATACTGTGGATACCCGGGGTTCCAGCTGAACTGCAGTGACTCAACCCAGGAGATCAGAATCGGGTCAGCAACATACAACGTCCTTGAAATCGACAACGAGTCGCGGGTTCTCACCGTGGCCAGAACCGATTATCTAGACGACCTCTGCCCACCCTCCCTGATCAACACCACTTGGAATCCCGACCTCTTTGAATTTACTCGCCATACTCAGGTTATAAACCTCTATTATCACTGCCTCCCTCCTCCTCCTCCTCCAGCTCCTCTAACTCCTCCAACTCCAATACCAAATCCAGAAAATGATGAGTACTTCAATCATTTTACTTGTAATGGATACGGAAACACCCCATGCGGCTATTATCTCACCAGAAATCTCAGTGAGTTGCCCCTTCCGGCTCATATTGCAATCAATGGCCTCTTGGGTAGGTGCGGTGACCGGGTTGTTCTGGTTGCAAACCAATCAGAAATCCAGTCTCTGGAGACAAGTCAGAATCTGAGCGAGGAAACTCTGGTTGATGCTCTAGAAAAAGGATTTGGGTTGCAGTGGAATGCAAATAATAGCTTGTGTGATCAGTGTGGAGGCTCCGGCGGGCTGTGTGGGTATGATAAGGTTTCGAATAAATTTTCTTGTTACTGCACAGATCGGCCCTATGATACCGTTTGTCCTACAGGTCAGTTCATTACTTCTCTTTAGTGATCAGCCCCATAGTACGGTTATTTGTTTATCATATTAAAATTCGAGATTTCAAACATAAAACTAAAATTAAAATTTTAAGTTTTTGTTTGTCAAGAAATTTGAGGATGTTGAACCCTTTTTTAGGCCAAGGAGGACACTGAAATTTAAGGAATTTTTAA